GGAATCAAACCCAGGTCTCGCTTGCAAAGTGAGTGCTCTAACCACTGAGCTACAGGACTCCAAAAATAGCTTCAAATAGGTCAGAGCATAATAATAATAATGCAAAAGAGAAGGGCTTTCTCCTATTATTCTGACCAACAATCCATATAAATCCTGTGAAGTGATTTGAGATATCCTCCTGACATGAAAAGTGCTAAGCGAAATGCAAGGATTTTTTTTTTATCTTTTTCTCTTCCTTTCAGTTTTCCCACTGTCTTCTCTGATTTCTCCAGTATCACCTGAACCTTTGAACAGCCACATTGGGTTTAGAGACATCATACTGTGTAGCTCTCTGGCCAGGTCACATCTCGAGTACTGCATACAGTTCTGGTTGCCTTGACATAAGGCGCCTTCCCAGGCCCCAGAGTCAGTGCAGAGGAAAGCATCGAGGATGATCTCCCCTGTTAGAGGAATGAGCTCTGAGCAACAATTAGACAAGCGAGGGCTCTTCAGTTTTGAGAGACGATTTCTCAGAAGGAATCTTGTTGAGGTACAATTTTTTTTAATGGCATTTAAAAAGTAAATCCGGATTAATATATTAGTATGCATCAAGACAGTTGATCAAGAAGAAAATAGGTTCAGAGTAGCAATGGACAATTTAAGAACACACACAAGGGAGGTTTTCTTTTACCCAGAGGGTAATTAGCAACAGGAACAGGTTACCACAAAAGGTGGTTGATACTGGGTTCATTTAAAAAGCAACTTACCATGGTAAGATGGTTGGGTGGGTATTCTGGAAGGATGAAAGCAAATGGGCCTTCTTCATAAACTAATCCTGTGATCTTGTGATCTCTGATAAGATTTTCAAATGGGATTTTACTAAATAATTAGCTGGCTCATTAATCTCAGGTGAATACATTATCTTAAAACAGAATATCTCAAGAAATATCTTGAGATCATCTCTTGGTCCCAGTATTTCATGAAAGAGTGTAGTGGCATTATGTTGTCTTAATATTAATCAAATAAACTAGACAGTTAATTAATTTCTCTCTCTTATAGTTCATTTAAAAAAAAGACATGTCACAGTGAACCTTGGAGAGGGAATTAGAACCAGTAAATTTATTAGCAACATGGAAAAATTAATTTCATCGTAACCTCATATGTACTTTAGTCAGCCTTGCTCAGTTGGCAGTGCCTTCCCGCTGAGTGAAAAGGTTGTGGGTTCAAATCCCACATCGGAACCTTAAACTTCCTGTCTAAGATGACATTCAAGTGCAGTACAGTATTGGGGAGTGCTGCATTGTCAAAAGTGCCATCCTTCTGATCAGACATTAAACCAAAGTCCTGTCTGTTTGTTTGGGTGGATGTTAAAGATCCCATGGCATTGCTCAAAAAGAGAAGGGGAATTGGCCAACAATCCCCAGGTAAAATTCAAAGCTGTTGGCTGTTTGTCAGACGTTGCTGTGCCTAAATTGCCTGCTGCGTTCGTCTACAAATACGCAGTCACAGCACTTTACAGTAAATCCTGCAAAAAGCACTTTGAGACATCTCGACATTGTGATAGGGGACTATATTAAACGCAAGAATTATTATATTATTATTCAACAAGAGGTTGAATCTTTCATTTTCCCCCCCTATATTTTCTCTTTATATTTTGGCTGACATTATTGAGATACCTGAATGTATTCTTAATATTTTCATAAAAGATAACAAGTTAAATATTTAGTGAGCCATTATTTATTTAAAAATATAATAAAATACCTCGTATTAAATTAGCTGCTGGCAATATAATAAATCTGGGAAATGTGCTTTGTTAAAAGGTGTTCTCCTTTCAAATATTCAGTCACTACACTTCACAGTGAATTCCTTGAAGCACTTGGAGACGTTTTAACATTGTGATAAATCATTGTTTCTAATAAAAAGATTATTATTATTAGAATCCTGCAGTTTAGTTATTTAAAATAAAATAGCTTTCTGACAGCATTAACTTCTGACAGCAACAACTTGCACTTACATATCACCATTCATGCAGGATAGCATCTCAGAGCGTTTAAAATAAGAACTCAACAGTCAGCATTACACAAGCGTTTTACACACCAAATTTTACAAATTTTTCACTACTGTCTTGATGATTCAAAGCACATTTCTAGAAACGTTATAAAACGTCTAAAAGTTCCACCAGTCAATATTTCGGCTAATAAATAATAACCTTGTTTCTTCTCTTTTTCTATCTTTCTGCACAAGTTTGCAATTGCACAAACTATGTATCCTAACGATTCCCATTAACTGACAGTTTGAGGGTGAAACAATCCAGCCCAATGGAAACTGTTATCCAGGGCATGTTTGTGAGTGATATAGTTAGGACTCCATGGCTTTCTCTTGCTGCCCCAGTGAATCTTGCGATTTGCATTCTAATTACAAACTTGACCTCATTGATCTGATGTGAATTGTTAATAGCCTTTTCTGCTCCTCTGAGCATGGTGTGCATAAGCAAAATGACTTTTCTGTATTGAATTGACCGAAAGCCAGAATTGAGTTCCATTCCTGATCATAACACAAGTGCATCACACCCATCCATGGGAAATCCATTCCAGCAGTAGATTGGGTCTGAAAGCACTCCCTGCGACTCACTCCAGTACTAGAGGCATCAATATTTGGGACTTCTGGACTCCAAGTCATCACCCCACTCCTTATAAAACCTACTCTTGATCCCTCCAACCTCGGCCACTACCGCTTTATCTCAAACCTGCCCTTCCTTGCCAAAGCTCTGGAACGTGTTGTTGCCAACCAACTTCATGCACACCTCTCCCTCCACACCCTACTCGAACCTCTCCAGTCCGGTTTCCGCCCTGCCCACATTACAGAGACAGCACTCGCGAAAGTCACAAACGATATCCTCTCTATCTGTGACCAGGGCTCCCTCTGCCTCCTCGTCCTTCTGGACCTCTCCGCCGCGTCCGATACAGTTGATCATGCCATCCTCCTCCACCGCCTGTCCTCCATCATCCACCTCAGTGGGACTGCACTCACTTGATTCAAGTCCTACCTGACAAACCACCAGCACTATATTTCTGCTTTTCTTCTCACTTTCACCCTGTCACCTATGGGTACCCCTCCTTGGCCCCCTCTCTTCCTCATCTATAAGCTCCCTCTCGGTGATGTCATCCGCAGACATGGGGTTAACTTTCACATGTATGCAGATGGCACTCAACCCTACTTTTCCACCTCCAACTCTGACCCCCAGTCCCCTGATGTTCTATCAGCTTGTCTGTTGGACATCAAGAGCTGGATGAGCGCAAATTTCCTGCAGTTAAATGTCAACAAGACGGAAGCCATAGTCTTTGGCGCCCATCAATGTCTTCCGTCCCAAGGTTCCAACCTCCTCAACCTACCCGACCTATCCTTAAAACTCTCAGAACCCGTGTGCAACTTAGTTGCTCGAGGTGAGTTTGAATATGAGATCTGTTTGAAGAAGAAAATGAGACTAACTGGAAGAATCTGTTAGATTTAGAAAGTTAAAATTTATAATAAATTACTGCTAAAATACTTTCCTAGTGAGACAGGTGGATAATCCTGCATATAATTAGCACATTCATTAAACTGTGAAGCCATTGCATTCAGTCTTGGGCACCACACCTCAGGAAGGATATATTGGCTCTGGAGGCGGTACAGCGCAGATTCACTAGGATGATACCAGGCCTTAAAGAGTTCAATTATGAGGACAGGTTGCATAAACTTGGTACTTTCATACATTCTACCCTCTGCCTTGCCCCTCCATCCTCACTTTTAAAGCCCTCTTTATTCCCTCTAGTCCTTTGAGTTTAGAAGGTTGAGGGATGATCTGATTGAGGCTTTTTAAATAATAAAGAAATTCAATAGAGTAGATACAGAGAAACTATTTCCTCTGGCGGGGGAATCCAGAACAATGGGGCATAATCTTAACATTAGAGCTAGGCCATTTGGAGTGAAATCAGGAGCAGTCTTTCACCCAAAGGGTAGTGGAAATCTGGAACTTTCTGTGAAAAAGCTGTGGATGTTGGATCCGTTTCCATTTTCAAGACTGAGGTGGATAGATATTTGTTAGGTCATGGTATTAAAGGATATGGGGCAAGGATGGGTAATTGGAGTTGAGGTACAGATCAGCCATGATCGTATAGAATGGTGGAACAGGCTCGAGGGGCTGAATGGCCTACTTCTGTTTCTATGTAACTCCTAAAATCAACTTCGAGCACAATTCAAGTCACATGAAAATGTCACCAAAACTCAAGTCAATTTAAAAAGTGGAGGAGTTTCATAATGTGCATCGCAGCTATAGTCTTCTATTACAGACTCCCACAGTACACAAATAAGTACACAAAACACATGTGGAGCTCTCTTCGCAAGACTCCAAAATCTTTAATGATCAGCAGCATCGCCATTCTCTGCCAACCTTATGCGATTAAGGTTGATTTCTACAGCAGTGCGCTGATATTATAAGTCAATGTTTACATTAACTCAAACTAAAATCTCTAGGATGTCTTTGAAAAAGAAGTCTATGAGATGATTTGATATTCTATTACCTTATTTTGTTTTGTTTAAAGAAATATTCAGCAGTTTTGAGACAACAGAATGTCAGGCACAATGTTTTTGCTGCTTACTTTGAGATCATTTTAAAGTTTACGGTTTAGAGACTATACAAAACAGTACAATTTACATTTAAATAACTCCTTTCATATCGGGGGAAGACTCAAAGTGTTTTAAATATTTGGCTGGGAACCTGATCAGGGTAGATGGAGGAAGGAAGATGGGGAGGGGAGAAATAACTAAAAGCCCAGTCAAAGAGGGCTTTAAAAGTGAGGATGGAGGGGCAGGGCAGAGGGTAGAATGGCTGAAAGTTCACCCACTTATGGTGGGCTGATCTGGCAGGGGATATGAAGCCTGTTGATGTTTGCTGAGCCGAGAGAACAGCTAGGTCAGTAGGGTTTCAGGAGGTCACAAAGCTAGAGTGGGGTAAGGCCATGAGGGATTTGATTCACTGGGGGATGGAGTCGAGTAAAGATGGCCTCATGAAAACTATTGCCGGACTGGACATATCTTGCAGAATTCTGGATGCTGTACAGCTTTTGTAGGGAGTTGCTGGGGAGTCCAGTGAGCAGGATGTTGGAATAATCATGCCTGGATATGGTTCTGCTGAAAATCCCTGTCACAAGATTGGCCTTTATGTCCTAAGGCGCAAATACAGCTGAGTATTTAATAGGATCGTGACAAGACTGCAGATTGCTAGTCTTTTAATCTTCTTATTTAACTAGAAATCACAGTGTGTAATTATCCAAAGTGCTTTGAACGTTAATGAAAACCAATATATAATAAATATATTGCGTACATATGACTATGTCATTAAATTTACAAATTTAAAATAAAAGCAAAGGATGCACCTCAGTAGGATATTAGTGCAAATCGAATATTGTCACCTAACTCTCCACAACAGACTATTTGTTTTTATATTATTTACTGTGAATAACATTTAAAAGGATGCAAAGTTTTCACATAATAAACTGTTTTTTTTAAATAATCAATGTGTATCAAGATGGATGTCTGTCACAGTCAAATTTCAGCGAGGCAGAGTTCTGAAAAGCTCAGCTTTATTTAATTCAAACCACATAATTTACAATTTCCAAAAGAAAATACCACAAACCATTATAACTCATACATATTTAAAGTCCGACAAGTGCCTGCAGATATGATTACAGTGTGTAATAACTCTCCTTATGTGCATTCATGCCATCCTATGCAAAATCAATGTACTGTATGGGTTCTGTAGGTATTAGTAAAACCACCATAACCTGATGGCTTGACCCCATGTTAACCATCCTTGTAATGGCTATAAAACATTTTTTAAATCTGTTATTCGCTGATGTGGTACCGTAAAAAAGAAAATTAAACCAAAACTCTTAAAACAAGCCATTAATGTATTAACTTTTAAGATAAAAAGAATATAATGTGGATCAGCATTTGATTTCTTTCAGCAATTTCTATTTTGCTCTTCGCTCCAGAAAACTGGAAGGTATTAGAAACGCTCTTCTCACCGAGACAAGCACATTTCTTCCCAAAGATATTACTCGAATTCCATTATTTCTGAGAGACCAAGTGAAGGGTCAAGGCCCGTAAGGTAGTGAGGCATACTGGATGAAAAGAGGACAAGAATCAGAAATTAGTTGTTATGTTATATGTCATTGGGATTGTCTTTAGAGTTAATTGATATTCATTGCATTTACCATGGGGAGGAAGGTTCTAATGCATTTTCAAGTCTTATGAAACCAATTAAATCTGTTCTGTTAGACAGTACAAACATCTTATGCGAATATTAACTACCCACTTGAAGTATATCTGATTTAATCATCATCAAGGTCCATCCTAACAGAGGTTACCAACAATATTCTGGTCTTCAATACAATACCTCTGGGTGTTGATCCATTGTTGACGTTTTCACAGCAGTTGCTCAGTCAGTCCACAGCCTGTGATTAATTCTTCAATATTTGCCAGTCCTCAACTTGTCCTTTTCACCAAACAAACCTGATGTCAGTTTCAATTTTTAGTAACCTGGTTACTTTTGGAAGTTAACATAAACAACATAACTAATGAACCAAATGATGATTTTATCAAATTACACTGCAGGTTGACTCACAAAGGTCTGGAGGATTCATTTTGTGTTGTTTAAGTTTGATGTAATAATAATACAGAATTTTTATTCTAAACAGGACTGATCTTCAGTATGTGAATAGCTCTGACCAGCCTGTTCTTTAAAATGTTAATCTGAATTAAGCCACGATTACAGTGACAATCTCATTTGATTTCTTCAGACTGATTCAGAGCAAACACATTTAGATCGTTCCCATTGGTGTTGCAAAAACATTCCCCCAAAAATGTTTCGTAAATTTAGACTGCGATTACAAAAAATTGCACCAAAGGAGGAAGAGGAAAATGTGATTCAAAATGCCGGACCTCAACAGGGAGACAAGACTGCAGAACAGGTTTGTGTTCAACGGATTGATTTTCCACAACAGTATTTCCTGTCACTTGTTTATGTTAAATACCCCAGGTACAGCTTTGGTTTTCTGTTTACATGTTTCTTCTTTATAGGTGGACAAGAGAATCGAAAACAACCACAAGAGTGATGAAGCAAAAGATGCAGAGGTCACACTAGCTCCTGCAGATGCTCGGCAACAGCAAGGTCTGAGATTCGAGATAACAATGTAATGTGTACAGAATACACCCATCAACATTGCATGGCATGGTTAGAATTACAGAAAGAATATTTGAATTGCGAGCAGGTTCAGTGTCCATTGCTGTTCTGGAATGATTTTTCTAAAATATCACAGTAAAGAGTTATGCAGATATCACTAACTTTGCCTTAGTGGTACATTTTTGAAAAGTGAAGATGAAAACACCATAAACCACAATTTAATAACAATCTGAGTAAGGGACCCACAATAAAAGTCACCATTTTTTCGTTTTTTCTGACTGGAGGGAAGTGTTCAGTGATATCCCCCAGGGGTCGGTATTGGGACCACTGCTCTTTTTGATCTATATAAGTGACCTGGACTTGGGTATTACGAGTACAATTTCCAAGTTTGCAGATGATATGCTAGGAAAGCTAGGAAAAGTAGTAAACGTGAGGAGGATAGTATCAGACTGCAAGGGGACATAGACCGACTGGTAAAATGGGCAGAGACGTGGCAGATGAAGTTTAATGCGGAGAAATGTGAAGTGATGCATTTTGGGAGGAAGATTGAGGAGAGGCCATATAAGCTGATGGCAGAATCTTAAAGGGGGTGAAGGAACTGAGAGGAACAAAATTATGAGGGGATTCGATAGGGTGAGCAAGGAGAAACTATTTCCACTGGCGGGTGGGTTGGTAACCCGGGGACAATGATTCAAAATAGTTGTTAAAAGAATCAGAGAGGAGGTGAGGAGAATTTTTTTCACACAGCGAGTTGTTCGGATCTGGAATGCATTGCCTGAAAGGGTGGTGGAAGTCAATTCGATGACAACTTTTAAGAGAGAAGTAGATAATTATAGGGGAGGACAAGTTTGCAGGGCTATGGGGAGACAGCAGGGGAGTGGGATTGATTTGGATAGATCTTTTAAATGAGCTGGCACAGACACGATGGGCTGAATGGCCTCCTTCTGTGCTGCATAATTCTATGATTCTATGATTTTCTTCATCTTTATAAAACAAATGGTGTCAGCCTGGCTCAGTTAGTAGCACTCTTGCCTCTGAGTCAAAATGTTGTGGGTTCAAGTCTATGTTGGGACTTGAATTTACATAGTCTAAGATGGCACTCTAATGCTGTCCTGGGCGGGTGTCAGAGATGCAGTGCTTCGGATTAGACTTTAAATCAAGGTCCCGTCTGCCTGTTCAGGTGAATGCTAAAGATCCCTTTCTCTACGGAAAAAGAGAAAGGAGTTTCTACTTGTGTCCTGGCCAATAATCCCCTAAATAAAATTAGTGATTAATTTCATGTCTGGATGTGGGACATTCCTGTGTGCAAATGGCTGCCGTGTTTGCCTACCAAAAAACAAGTGTTCCACTGTACAGTAAATTCTGTGAACTGCTTTGAGACGTCCTCCCAATATGAAAGGCACTATACCAAATGCAAGAATTGTTATTAATAACGTTTTCCTTATCGATTGTTAAAGTATGGTTAGGAAGTTTTGTCCCCCTTTCCTTTCCCTCCATGCAACCCAGAAGTGATGATGACTCTTGTGTCAATGATGCTGCAAATCTAGTTAGATCTGACTAGCAGCTCCCTCCCCATTGCACATAGCAGTAGAAGGCAAGGTGACATGTCTTAATTGTATTACACCTGTGAGAATGGATGAATATTGTGCAGTTTTCCCTGGTTATCTTTGTAGATCAGGGAATTTCTATGCAAAACTTTCCTACAAAGGATAAATACATCAATCTAAACATTTATGTAGCACAAGGGGAGTTGTTATTTGTTTCCATTTTGTTACAAATCTGACAGGTTTTTCACAGTACGCATAATGTAGTTGAATAATGCTTTCACATGATTATTACAATCACCTTTGTGAGTCAAAGAGAATTCACAATGCGATGCTTTATTAGATTAGTAAAGCTGTTTAACTGGAGCTAAAATACATTTCCAGAAACAAGACTGAAATCCTATTTTTCTGTTCATCTACAGGAGCATCAAACCTCAAATCAATCTGATATTTCCCCAAAAGTACAAGCACACAGACACATACATACAGTTTCCAATAGTGGTCACTACAGAGCAGGAACCTGACTTGATTTTGTTCTCTCTGCAGTGCCAAGATCAATAAGGCCAACGGTAACACCCCATCCACAAACATAATACTTTGTGCAATGTAACCTGGGCTCGTGTGTAAGGCAAAAACCTGACACAACCTTAAATGAGCGAAATCAGCTTCTACAACATTATTTTCTGAATTATAGATGACCTTTGGTAAAATAAATAAACTAGACTGCTTCAAGCAGATTTTGAAAGAGGCTGCTAAGCATTCGGATTGCTGTAATTTGTTTTGAGGTAGATGATGATAAAAGACAGAGCTACATTCACAGCTGAAAAGATGCCTGACAGTGTTAAACCTTTGGAGAAATAAGAGAAACCCAAGGGTGAAGCACAGATTAACTTGTGTAGAGAGAATTTTTTTAAATGGCATTTGTGTAGATGCTATTTCCCTTTCCTAATAACAAGAGGCACAGAATGAAACATGATGCAACTCTCTGGAGAATGGTATGAATGGTAAACACAGTGAGACAACCCATCAAAGATAGCTGAATTAACATTACCAGCCTAGGAAGATTAATAATGAGGATTAATATTTTCACAAACTTTGGACTGTGGGAGGTGGAAGGAGGTGAAAGATAGGATGTTTCATAACAAATTCAACAATGCAGTTGAGAATTATTAAACCTGTTAAGGAACACTGCATTTTTTACCCACAAGTCATAATTGACAGGACTTGAGGGAGTGTTGTTCTGGCTGGATCTGAAAAGGGTATTCTTTTGTAAAAGAATTGAATAAACAATATGCTTTAAAGAGAACTGATCCAGTGCCAGTAAGAGAGAGGAGGCGGCACTAGCAAATGGCTGAATAATTGAATCAGTTGGGAAACAAAAAACAATGATGATGTACAGGGATTGGAAAAGATAGCGCTGATATTACATTACATGTTTTCCTGCAGAGACAAGGCTGCTATCAGCTATCCATAATGAACCTTGGCCAAATTTCCCTGAACCAAATAGAGCTGAACCTGTTTTCAATGGAGCAAAGTGATTTGAAGAGAGATATGATCCAGGTGTTTAAATTGCTAGGAGCTATGAATATTAGAACCATTGAAATTTGCAGCACAGAAAAAGGCCATTCAGCACATCATGTCTGCACTGAATCTTTTAAAGAGGAATCCTTCCAGTCCTATCAACCTGTCAGTTTCCCCATACTTCTGTAGTTTACCCCTTTTTAGATATCTATTTATATCTATTTAGTTCCTTTTTGAAAGATAATGCAGATTCTTCCTCAACGAATATTCTCAGCAGGGCATTGCATATCCTCACAACAACAACTTGCATTTATATAGTGCCCCTCAAGCAGGGTACTGTCTCGCAGGGCTTAACAGTGGCGGAGACTGACACCGAGCTGGAGGTGGGGGCTGGTAGGTGACTGTAGGTATATAACCACTCTGTTCGTGAAATCTGTTTCCCAATCACTCCATTTGTTCATCTGCCAGCTATCTTAAATTCACCTCTAGTCACTGACTCACTGGAAATATTTTTTCTCTATTGAGTCTAACAAAAGACTTGGATCATATTATAGTTGTGAGCAATATGTTTGCTCTCCACCATTGTACACAAAAAGGCATTGCTTTAAAATGAACAAACCTAATGCTAGACTGAAGATACAATTTTACCTCCCAATTTTTTTCCATTATTAAATACCAAAATATTATTCCCCAGGTTCTAGAAATTAATTTCATGCAAAAGTGTCTGAATACACTTTTTAGGTGCCTCTCGAAAAAATACTTATGAACAATGTTCTTCTAAAGCAATTTACATAGTTCCAAAGGCTGACAAACTGCATGTTAAAGACTGTATATATTCAAAGCTCAGAACTGAATTAATATACAGTAAAATTTGCATAAGTCTAATATAATTATAAGTCATACATCCACTCGAGTCCCGTTTCATTTCCTATTAAACCCACTTAAATTTATATGAACTAGTTATATTAACCATCACATATCTGGTAACACCGCTACTGCAAAATTTAGTTTCCCACCCCAAACGGAACACAACACAGACACACCCCAACATTCTCCGCTCCTTCCCGGGGCGTAACATGAATATCATCACACATATTAGTGTGGGGTGAGGGGCTGAGAGAAGAAAGAGTGTCACTTTATCACTTGGTGAGCAAAAGGGTGAGGAATGCCTCATCAGGGGAGCAAAAGGGGCCCACCACTACATGCACGCATAATAGTCTTGAAATGGCATGTGCAGTCATCCACGTGAAACAATCACAGGAACCTAAGTCCCGACCTGCCACCACATATGCACATATCGGCTGCAATGCCAAAAGACCACACGTGCAACACAAGTACGGAAGATTAGGTTTTGACCAGTCATCATGGCATCAGGCTGTGCAGATACTCCAACAAAACCAAATTAAGTTTATATTCTGTTAAAACATTCTGTTTCGAAACCTGTTTGGTTGTGTCATTCATTGTACAGTACATGTTTTCTGCACATGAGGTACTGTGATGTGAAGTACTGTTTTTGGATAGAATGAGCTACAAGAGTTTTAATATGCATGGGTTCAACAAAGTACAGAAACCTTGCCTTAATGTCAGCAGTCAGTACAGTACTTGAGTATTTGTTGTGTGTTAGTCATATAAAATCCATCTTTATGTAAATCATATATGATATTTGTAAGTTTGACATAACTCATACTTTGCATAAGTCATATTAAATGTTATTGTCCCAATTGATATGACTTCTATTAGGTTTACTGTAATTGAACATTTTAAATGGGATAAATACTGATGCATTTCAAAATTATGAAATATGTTTAGTAATAATCATGTGCAAATCCTGTAAGTATATGAGAGAGTTTAATTTAAAAATATAAAATCATTAAATCTACAGCAGCAACTACCCAGACTCCTCCTGCTGCCAAAAGCACTGAA